AAACTGGAGGTAATGGAATTCTTTTGTTCGACTCATATCCTCTCACTTGTAGGTCTGTCAGTTTCTGACAGGGTATGACTGTCGACCTCGCGGACATCATGGATTTGATTTGATTTGATTTGATTTATTCTTTCAAGCATATAAAACAGTTGATATAACAACACACATTTTTACACACAATCCAATATCAATTTTCTTATACCTAGTACATGCTTGAATGGAGTAGGAAGAAGTCAGACTTATCCTGTCCTACCCCATGACATCATCTTACCATCATTGGTTTGCAAGCAATAAATGATTCACTTCTACACACACACATATTATACTAAAAAAAGAATATAACAGCGTTAACATTCTTACATCACACAAGTGATATACTAAAGAATAGTTACAAAATATACACCACACCCACAATAGTCCATGTAGTTAATCATTGAGCCTGTTCTTGCATATATCTTGATTGACACATACCTTTATATTTACATTTAAACTCATCAATTCTATTACAATTTTTTATGTCCACACTTAAAATATTCCATAGTTTTACCCCGCTTATGGAAATACAAAATCTTTTTTATAGTTGCAAGCTGACATTTTTTTTTGTTTGTGTTAAGATCTTGAGCTACTTCATCTAGAATGAAAGTTGTATCACTCTGTGTATCTAAGAGAGCATAGACAAGGACTTCATTATCTGGCTGTTTAGTGGATGACACCGAGACTGGCAAAATAGGGGATGTTTGTGTGCTTAGGCCTTCTTGTACAACTCTGTTGGTGGTCACTGTAACAATCTTTCCTGTGATGTCTGACTTATCCCTTGAAATGCCATCTCCATTTTGGGGAATTGACCCTTGGCGTTCCTTGAACTTGTCGTCATGCAGGTGTGTTGAATGTCTCTTTTGACACTTCTCGCATGTGCTCTTATTATTGCACCTTCTTGAGTGATGACCGGCCTTTAAACACCCAAAGCAAAGCTTCTCTAGCTGCAAAAACTTGACACGCTCCTGAACCATCTTTTCTGCGAACTTTCTACACTTGTCGAGGACATGACCTGTTCTTTTGCAGAAGACACATGATAGAATAGTGCTTTGTGCTGTGTTTGTGGTCAACGTCTTTGCTTGAACTATTTGACTTCGTGGATGCTTTGGTTTCTCACCTTCAATACCTTTGAGTGCTTGCATGGAGGATATGGGATCACAAGCAAGATCTGCTTCCTTCGACAGGAAGTTGACAAACTCTTTGAAAGGTGGGTATTCAGCACTAATTTGCCTGACCTCCATCACAGTTCCATCTAGAAACCAACCAATCTGGTAGCTTCAGCAGAATCCTTTGATTCTCGATGCAATCATTGAGGATGTCCAGTGTTTTAATGTGGGACATTGCAGCTTCACAGCTCTTGAGGAAGTCTGCAAATTCTCTTAGTTCGTAGTTATCCTTAGGGCTTATCTTTGGCCATCCATGCAGCTTGTCTCTGAGGGCCTTCCCAATTGTGAATGGGTCTCCGAAACGCTTCTCTAACAGCTCCCAGGCTGAGTCATATGCTGCTTCTGTGCCTAGTAAGAAAAATCCTTCAACAACTTTCTTTGCTGTGCCACCTAAGTATTTTCTTAAGTAATAAAGTTTTTCATCCTTCGGGATATTTTTTCATTCGATTAGTGTTACAAAGGATAATTGCCAGTCTTTGAATTTCAAAGGGTCTCCTGTAAATAGTGCAGGATCTGGTGTTGGAAGACGATTAGCGCTTATAGCTTCTGCTAGCAGGTTGATCACATTCTGCTCTTGAGATAAAAACACTGTAGTTGGAGACTGAGGTAGCAGTTGTGGATGAGAGGCTTGACATGTGACTTCTAGAGGATGAGGAATGAATGGGGGACTCAAGGGATTGAGATCTTGGACTGTAACTGGCAAGGCATGAGGTGTGACTGAGTGACTAGAAGTACTGAGAGTGTGCTTCATAATTGGAGGGATAGTGGAAGCAGGACCTTGAAGCTCTGCTGCTACTTCGACATCGCACAGTGAATCAGTTTCTACATTTCCTTCGACTTCGTCATAGACCTTTACTCTAGCTTTTGCAGCATTGAGCTTCTTTACTTCTTCTAGACGTGCGAGCTTTCTACGTTTGTCTTGCATTGCTTGTTGTCTGTCTAAGTCCTCTGATTCAAACTGTGCCAGCCGTTATTTATTTTCAGCCTCTAGCCTTTGGAGTTCTGTTGCTTCCCTTTCTTGTTCCTCCAATACTGCCAAGGTCTCCTGAGCTGTGGCAGCTTCAGCCACAGCTTCTATTCTTTTAACTGAGCACACACTAGATCGGGTGGAATTACGTCTCGATTGGTGAGACAGTGACCTCGATGAGGAATCTGTTGAATCTAAGACTGATCCAACATCAAGCCATAATTCTTCATCTTTAGCCGGTTTATGACCCTTGAGCTGTCTTTCTGCCTTCTGAACAATGAATTCTGAGAGTGATGCACATGTGTCCACTCTGCGCCGCAGATCTAGGGGTTTGTAGTCGACGTAAGTCTTCATAGACGACTTGAACATCAGTGCTGGTACATTTGATGTTTTCAGTAAGGTCCTTAAGTTCATCTTCAGAGGCTTCATCAGCCAGCAATCCAATTCAATTCTTGCGTAACATCGCCACTTCTCATATGTGATTTTGTACCTACGTTGTACACCCTTACGTCTCTCTTCTTCAAGTTCTCTTCCCTTTTCTGTTAGGGTGCGAGTTCTTTCACTCCTTCGTAGTTTTTCTACTTCTGTTGTAGATTCAGTATCTGTAGCTTCGTCTTGAGCAGGTGCTTTGGTAGTTTTACAGGTTTCAACGCTAATGTTGAACATCTTGAGATAACTTCAGTGGTTGTATTTCTAGGCTATGTGTAAGTGAAGGTCATGCTATGCATAAGTTTAAGCAGCTAGGACAGTTGTGTATGTGCCCTTCACTACACTAACGTATTGGAAACACTGATAGGTTTTGGCAGGTTATTTTCTTCATACTGCGCACAGTGTTCATGATTGATAGTTCTGAGCTCTTTGTTGCAATTTCCAAGATGAATTGCTTCTTACGTCACCTTAAGACAGAGTGAAGTCACGGAGCTCTTCCTGGTTTGGCTTGAGAATTGCACTTTCAATACAGTCTATTCACCGTTCTTTGCAGCAACTATGTTGGTGATGCATTGTGAGTTCAGCTTATCTGATGCGCCGGGTCTTCCTCATGTCTTAGCCCACTGCGGTTCCGTTGTCTCTCTTACCCCTCGTCGAGCAGTCGAGTTCTCACTGTAGCTCTTTCAGGACAACACAGACACAGGTTGATTCTCTGAAACGGGCGTTTATTGTCTTCTTCTTCTTTTAGTCACGCCGTGAGAACTATATTCACGAATGAACAAGACAAAGATATTAGCAGCTAAACAATGCCTAGCATGTACAGAAATAAAAGAAATGAAGACATTTATAAATAAAGGCACCTCGTTGGCTGCTTGTCTTGAAAGAGATTCTTAGTTGCTTAACTGCCCTTGAATGTCTGGCTTGCCTTCAGACAAGAGATAATTTTAATGCAACTCAGCAGAGCCTCGTGAGAGACATCTGCTCACCTACAGTCCAAAGCGAGAAGTTCTGTATTGATCTTGTAAGAGTTCACGTTCTCATGAGACACGTTTCACTACGTAGTGTCTCTTAATGTAAAATGAGCGGTTACATAAATTACATCACAATAACCCATATTCATCTTAACAACTTTGAGCTTAAATGAACAACATATTTAACACAACATATTCGTGGAATACTAAATCAACTCAACACTTACAAAAAGAATGGTGTAAATAACAGCTGCCTTATTACAAGCTTCTGCATGAGTGTGAACTGTTTGCATGGTTTGACCTTCACTGACTGATAAGGGCATGGTTACAGTAAAGGTTTATGAGCTGTAGGTGGGAGAGCCATCCAAACATCAAATTGTAGCCCCTATACACAGTAATACGTCTGTGGGTCAGGGTGGTCTGTGAAAAGAGGCTGCAGGGTTTCTTGGAAAATGTAAACTGTGTCATTTGGCTTTGCAGAGTGTGCAACCTGCACATGTAGCCTATGTGTTGTATCTTTTCTTTCCTTGTACATAATGGATCTGTATTCCCCTGCAAATCAAGATGTTGGAGCTAAGTAAACGCAAATCCATCCACGCATCACTTTGTAAATATGCAGTAAAAGTACACAGCATGTATTGTTATAGTAAAAGTAAAAAAAAAAGGGTTCCACAATGAACAGGCCTCCCCAGCCTACTCCACCTGGGGCAGCAGTGTGGGGCTGAGGGCTTGTTCTGACGTGGTTATGAACCCAACCCCCATAATGTGATGTTGCATTCGGGTGCATCTTTAAAGTGTGTTGTAAATATATGTAGCCATGAAAGGAAATTAGTTAAGAGGCCTGTAAACAGGAGTTTTAAACCATTCAGAAACATATATACTTTAAAAGTGTACAGCAAAAGTAAAATCAATATGATAAGGATTATCCTGCTTTTATTTTTATATTTTTTTATTTATTGCTGCCCACAGTTCCATTTCTTGTTGTACAATCAATAAACATCTCATAACTTCCCAACAATTTTTCACTTCTTCTTCTCCACTAGTACTGTAGCGTCAAGGTATGAAAGGCTTCACTTCACTTATAGGTTCTGTTATAATCAGACACAATCAAAATCTTATGTTATAATATAACGTAATTAAAATGTAATAATAATTCTTTTAGTGTATATATGGTAGCCTATAATTTAGATAGAAATGTCCCCATAGGCTACCCACAACCTTCAAGATTGATTCTGGATAATAGTGCTCTTCCAGAACGTGCATGAAGGCAGCATCAGTGTGGTCCAGCCCTCTTTTCCTCTGTGATTGGCCCACTATCCCCTCGCTCACCCCTGTAAGTCAGTTCCAAAAAAAACGAGTCACGTCTCCTCTCAGCCAATCGCAGCCTCGTTTTATCATGACACTGTGGGATTCCGCGAAATTGTTTCTTGGAGTTGAGAGAAGTCGTGCACACAGTGAAATAGGGCAAGTTGACGCGTGTGTGGGAGCGCACAAAGAGGCGGAAAATACGCATACACAAAGCCTGGTCCAATAACACGTTTGGTTGTTGTTGTTGACCCAGCATATTAAAAGGAGAGGGAGGGTGGAATAACTGGAGGACGATTCAAGCAGCTATCTTTCCTGGGGGTGTTTATTTATCCGCCCTGCAAGCTCACCAAGAAAACACAGCCTTTGTGGATTAGTCACATTGGGATGGTTAACCGCATGCTTCACTGGAGGACTGCGGCTTGATTACTTTATTGTATCAGTTTTGTCGGATTGTCTATAAATATATAACTACTCTACATTGTTCCTTTTCTCCATCCGGGTCTGCTGTAGTGATGTCGGAGGTTCATGTCTCTGCAGACTGTGTCCCCAGCCGACCAGCGGGACGGGGACGGACAGAGGACATGGTGAAAGAGAACCAGGAGCACAGGACTTTATTAATGGTGGCAATGATTTTATTAGACTTGAACAAATGCAGTCCCAACGCTATCAGCGCGGGAGGCGGCGCATGTCTCGGGGCTAGCGACGCCGGCACTCAGGAGAAGGTGGAGCGGGCCGGTTACCGGATGAACGCCGGGGACGGCCGGGGTTCTGTGGCACTCAAACAGTCCAGGAGCAAAAAGGTGGTGGCGGCGAGAAGAGAGCCTCCCGAGAAAAGGCACTGCTGCCCTTTTACCGGCTGTGGAAAGATGTACGGCAAGTCGTCCCACCTCAAAGCCCACCTAAGGGTCCACACTGGTAAGTGAAGCGCTTGGGCGACAAGCCTACGAAACTAAGGCTTGGTTCTGGCAACGTCAGCGAAACCGCTCTGCGTCGCTTCAGCTATTTTTTCCCCGACGCGTGTTGACACCTATTAGCTACTGTACTGGCGATTTTAGGACGTAATGTAATAGACTCTTAGGAGATCAAATGCCCCAAATGTGATTATTTCCTCATAAGGTCACACTTTGATTGTCATTCTTAATGTTGTAGACAATACCCATGTGATGTGACATGAGGAGTGTAACTGAGACAATACATGTTCCTGAAAATGAATTACAGATTATAGGAAAGGCTGTTTGCTGGGGCTCTGCTGACCAGCCCACAGTGGGCCACAGGCTGGATGAGGGAGGGGAAGAGGCGTATGTGATTTAGAGGGGGAGTGTTTCATGTGCTGTTGACACTGAGATCTGGGAACACCATGTACCGCCACCCATATTTGTGACAGATTGTTCAGGTGTGATAAATCATCCTGGAGTACTGTGAGTTATTATATTATCCAAACAGCGCCTCAGATGATTGTTACGCGTTATGTTATAAAAGAGGCACCTGTTTTGGGTGTTAACACGCACCATTGTACACGTGTTGTGACAGCAAGTAAGTGTAGTTACTATAATTGCGACATAGTGGTTATGCTTCACATGCGGGTCACTGCGACACTGTTATCGCATGTTCTTCTCCAGAGGTAACCCTCCCTGCACTATTTCCTCATACGTCATCCTCCTCCTCCTCCTCCTCTCCTGTGCGATTGTAAACAAGAGCAGACATGTGGTAAGGTGGAACACGTGGTGGAGGGGGAGGAGGAGGAGGAGGTGGGGGGAGTCTTATTTTATTTTATTTTATTTTTCTGTTTTTGTTCAGGAGGATCTTATCACGACTCACCTTTTCTAAATCACTGTCTTCTGTTATTTTTCTTGAAAATGCTATTTATGCAGGCCTTCCCAAAATTGCCTTTTCCTTTGACAAATCCCCCATAATTACTCTCAAGCCTGTGCTCTTTACTTTCTCCTCCTCCTCCTCCTCTCACTTGATTAATTTTGTATGTGTGGGATTTTGATCTGCTCTACAGCAGCGATTGGTGTTGACACAAGAGGGTCCCCAAACAGTGGGGAAAAACAAAACCCAGAGGTTAAGCTTGGAGCTAATTATATAAATGCACTCAAAGTATATAAAAAGGTAGCAATACAGAACTTGTGTTTGTTTTCTCAGGTGAGCGCCCCTTCGAGTGTACCTGGCCAGACTGTGGCAAGAAGTTCTCCCGATCAGATGAGCTGACACGTCACTACCGCACACACACAGGCGAGAAGCGCTTCAACTGTCCACTGTGTGACAAGTGCTTCATGAGGAGCGACCATCTGACTAAACACGCTCGGCGACACACAGGCTTCCATCCCAGCATGCTTCTGGGCTCCGGTGCAGCTAAGAGGCGCCGCTGCTCCATGTCCATGTCCTCCTCTGATTCTGGAGACCAAAGCCCTGTAGGCCTGTGAGACAAACATTCATAATGTACATATATACATAAGGGTATACGTATGCACTAGATACAGCAGCATACAAACACGGACACACATGTGTGGTGTTTACACCTTTACACACAAATCCCTTTAAGTCACCTGTGTGGTGTGTACACCTTTACACACAAATCCCTTTAAGTTAGACAACTCAACCAGCTAGACCATTATTCAGAGTTTTTCTGCTATGCACATTGTGCAACAGCAAACAGAAACATTTTGAAATTAAAGCTCCCCCTATTATTCCCTGAGGTGACCGGTATTTGTTAAAGGTTATTCAAGTTCTGTCAGACAGGCCTAGTTGTTTCACCATTTGTAATCATTTTGCTTCATGTTGTTTTATTTTCCTGGAAGAATCCTCCATCCATGTGGTATTCATATACATATATAGTGTAGTTTTTTTTATTTTGTTTTTTTTTATAAACACTACATGTGTTCACAGACGACTTATGCAGGTGAAGACAGCAAGATTTTTTTTTTTAACTGACATATTCCTAGTGTGTGGAAAAAGTCTTGGGATTAGTCCTTTTTGTGAAGAGTACTGTTGGGCTCATATAAACACATATTTTCATTTCAGTGCAGGATAAAGCACATGTACAGTATAGCAGTATTATTATGTAAATAGGTTAAACAGACTACCTTTCAGATGGACAATATATTAAATAGTGTAGTTAAGTATTATTAGTAATAAGACAGATCTTTAATAAAGAGGGATACCGAGCTTGCATATTTAAATTATTGTATTTGGCTGTGGGCTTATAGTAAATCAGGTATAGGCAGTGTGTTTTCTGTGACCAAGCATAAATTCTGTCACATCTTGATAAAAAAATACCTACAGTGCTTGGCAAGACCATAATACATAAGCCAGCATCAAGGGCAAATACATTTCAATATTTGTGCTGCTTTTTAGGCCTGAAATATGTCACATAACTGGGAACTTTACTTTTTCTCTTGTAGTTGAAATATTTTTAGCAGCATATTGATTCACATTAACTGTATACAAGGCCGTGTGTGCCTTGTAAGGGTTTTGTAGCAGAAAAGATTTTCTATGTTTTGGAATTACTTTCTAAACGCACATTGTCAGATTATTTATTCAAAGTATTAAATATCAACTACTGTCTCTTATACAAACAGAGCCAGTTGCTGTACATTGTACTAGCTTCACCTTCACTCTGTACAGTTGATCAGGGAAAATGTGATGCAAAATCAATATTACACCCCCTGGTGGTGACATGGAAGCACAACATTTCTCATAACAGAAAAATCATAAAATCTTTTCTTTTCCGTCTTAGCATTTGAAAGTATGCTCTCATGACTAGATTGTCAGTCAGTGAATTCCACCATTTAGCATGTTTGCATGTATTTGTTTAGCACAATGTATTAGTTGTTCTTCTGGTATGTTTTGTATTATATTACTAATGAGGTGAGGTCTTATTCGTCCAATAAGGGAGCCAGAAGCACAGCTGATGTCATTAGTTTTTTTTTTATACATAATGCATTAAAACGTCCAGATATAATGTAAACTTAGGTGTAGTTAACCTCAGAGGACTACATACATTTGTAAATTGAAATGCTGTTTCTTTTCTGGCGATGTAACAACTGACTGGCTGTTGGTGCCTTTCAGGTTGAAGCCCTGAGTGTGTGTGAGTGTGTCTGCTGCTACTGTACTGTAACCAGGGACTGTCAATACAGACCCCAGGTTATTGCAATATGCATAGATGTGTAACAATTACTGCTCAAAAGTTTTAACATTAAAATATTTGTTTTTCTTTTCAACATTTGCTCATTACTCCTTTCCTACATACCTGACACTGTTGAACTTTACAGAAGACCACAAGGGTCATGGAAACATTGATATAGGATTAATAATTCATTTGTACATTTTTTTAATAAATTGTCTTTTTATTGCCTTTTAAAATTATTTTTCAAAATTCCTTTTTTTATTGCCCAAAAAATACAAATGAACAAAATCACTTACTAATTTGTTTTTATTGTCTAATTAAATATCAGTTAATGAATTCCTGTATTATTTCCGTGACCCTTGCAGGCCTCTATAGAAGTTCACTGTATTTCCTAACTTTAACCTCTAGAGTCCCTGCGTCCTCATATGAGGACCGCACAGCTTGGGTTTCCAAAGCTCAGGACTCTAGAGGTTATGTAAATACAGTAATCCTGTTTTTGTTATATTTCCATTGATAATATAGTACCAGAGTCAAATTCCTCATGTGTCTGACACACCTGGCCAATAAAGCAGATTCTGATAATATAGTGCAATGAAGGTGTAACAACATAAACAATAAGGGAGAACAGGGAGTGCTACATTAGCTTTGTGTTTATTTGTTGTTTTCATACACCGCACATAACAATACAATTGTTAAATACTGTAATGGAAGTGTTTACAATACAAGAAAATGGTTTATAAAAAGGAAAACCAAAGAAAAACAATCACACATGTCTAAATAAAATAAAAAAAAAAATGCATAACTTCACAGACAGCTAATGTTCTTCAAATAAACTAAATGCTCAAGATAGGAACAAATATACACATCTTTTAAATTTCTCTGTACTTAAGGCATACTTTAATTGCAAATAATCAACTGATACAAGGGTCATAAATGAAGGATATTGGTGCTCCGAGTCAACAATCGATGTTGTTGTAGTCGGTAAACAATTTCCTACCTATTGACAAATAGATGTCATCTCACTCTTTAGTTTGGCATTGTATTGTATGCATGCATATGCATATATATGTAGTGTGTGTGTGTGTGTGTGTGTGTGTGCGCGCGCGCGCGCGTTTGTGTGAGACAGAGAGAGAGAAGATAGGTTCAATCCTTCTGGTGTCTGAACCTGTCTGCTCCCTTAATGATCTGTGGTGTGACGATAGAAATGAGGAGGGGAGTATCCAGTGATCATCAGGTTCTGTGACATCAAGAAGATATACCGCGGTGGGCAATGTAACAGACAATGCTGAAAAGTCAATCTAAAGCCCCCACCAAGTCCCTTTGGCCTTGATAGCATGGGCATCATGTGTTAGAGGGTCAGTGTAATGATATGTAATCTTCCCTTTTGACACAGTTCATTGCAGATAAGACACTCTCACTGCTATAGAGGAGAAAGTACACAGATATGGGCCCAAAGAATGACAAAAAAAGCTCAAATTCAAAACAATACAAGTCAAGTTAATGCCACAACAGCAGCATGTGATTGCCCAACAGAAATGGGACAAATATCAAATGTGCAACAAGCTACTTACTTATTATTTTCCATTCACTTATCCAGTCTGGTGCTCTTCATGCGATTCTTTCCTTAGCCGTTCATGTTCATACATTCATCCCTAAACTCTGTAACGAAATATCCCAAGCCTGTACACTGTAGGGCAAGGAACGCAAACATGTTGAAGGTGCTGTGCATTGGCCAGGCCTGTGCTACATAACAACCCTGTACAGTACAATGAATACAGTACCAGATATCCTCTATTTGTGGTGCTAAGACTGCACTCCTTTTCAAATATCTCCAAGTCAACACATAAAATCATACTGATCCCTCAGGTTGTAAAAAACAAACAAACAAAAAAAAAACAGTAAGCATTTAAATAATAATTAAAACAACGAACCTGCAAAATGCAATCCAAAATGTAGTTAAACAGTTGAGTCAGCAGTTATGGTATTGTTTCTTATTCTTCAAAACCAGTGAAATCATTTTACAGCATCATTTGTTTGTCCACTAGTACCACTGTGTTATGTTACATCATGTGCACCAGGAGACGGGCTATCACACACAAGTGCACGTCCTACCATAGGAGGAAACCACCAGTTTTACTCTTATCTTAAATACATACTGAATATTATCACATTTGTTCTTTCTCCTAGATTTTAAACCAATGTTTCTATATGTTAGTTTCATTGTCTTTATTATCATAGCACTTAACTGTCATCATAATGTTCTTCCAATGCTTCACTGTCACCATTCTGCCGGCGCAGTAAACTCACAGCGGGTGAAGATTGGGGGTTATGTTGTATGGAAAGGGGTGGGGTCAGAAGGTCAGAGGGCTGGGGTTACTGTATTTGACAGGTGGTAGACGAGGTTGCCTGGCAGCACATGCAGGTAGGGTTGACTGATTTGGGTGGGATCAAATCCAGGTCCTCATCGTCCGGGATCTCATCTAGGCGGTAGCCATCTTTCAGCAGCTGGATGTTCAGATCCTGATTGATTTGCTGAAGAGAGGTGGATAGACAGAGGTTGATGCATTATTACAATGTTTCTCAACCCGTGTCACGGATCATTGTTGAGCTACAGAGCATTTGCTACTGGGCCATGAGGTTAAGATCTGATTCTGCTAATAAAAATCCTTATAAACATCAAACTTTACACTCCATTACTCCCACAACAACTGATTGCAGTAAAGCAGACCATCAGTATGTGAGGTAATAAGTCCATCAAAATCAATACCAGTCTCATGTGTTCACAGTAAACATGTAACTTGAAACACACAACTAGCCTGGCTGTGGTCAATGGAAACAAAATCAACCTACCTCTAAAGTTCACTAATTAGCACATACAGTAATAACTTGTTTAATACAAAAATCAAAGTGTAAAAATGACAATTCCTTGTGTTACAGGGGTTATGTGCTAGACCGATTCTTGGCTGGTACCAGTAACTGCTTGGAGTCTCTAGTGGTTGCCAGGCAACTTGTCCAGTACTTCCCAAAATGCTGAACTTTTCCATTAAGTAGTTTGTTACTTTGGAAAAGGCAGGGCAGACAAAAGGCCTACTGTGTGAAAACCGGGTGTTTGCGTTATAATATTCCCATCTCATCAGCAACAATGTTGTCAATATGAGAGGGTTAGGAACCCATGAGTTGAGGAAGGTAAAATAGCGATGTGCACGCAAAAGGGGGAGGGAAGAAAGCAATCGCACTGACTGCAATGAGGTGCATCATTAGTAAACAAACCTTCTCTGGATTTGAAGTTTTCATTTATCAAGCCCAACATGAAAAACAGAAATTCATACGCTGAAATAAATGACTTGTGTTTTATGACAACAGACACACCTGTTGTCTGACTTTATCTGACTGACACAATGTGCAATGTACAAATATTAAGACTGTCTGTTCTTACTTAGGCTGGCTCAAGTTACAGCTGTAACCATGGCAAAGTGAGTTATGGTACTTTCACAGATGGCTGTAACGATCAGCGCTTGTCTTCATTGAATATCCCAGCATTTAACTCTTCATGTATAAACTGTCTTGTCTGTTGTAGAACTAACTGGTACTACGAAAGAGGAGACAATGGCTAAACGGGTTTCCACATTTACTGTACATTAGCTAATTATTTCTGACAGCATGGTGGCATTACGATATCAACACTTGTGGGCTTTCAAATATAACTTGCAATATATCCAAAAGCCTGGATGTGTCAGAGACAGAAAACCGAGTTAGAGGGTGGGGATGAGAATTCCTGTGGGGAACAGATATGATGAAGTGTCTGTGATTAGCACTTAGGATATATTGTCAGTAGTGTTGAAAACAGGATTTACAGGAGCAGACACCCAGAGATGACATTTCATTTGTTTCCTGCTTTGTGTCAGATTTGTACGCAAGTGTGTCTGCAGTGTAATCGTGCACTTACAGGGAGAGCGCACGCCTAGAGAATTAACATGATTTATGGAGAAGACTGGCTTATAAAGGTCTGACTCTTGGTCTGTTGGCGGTTGTGGGAAATAGAGTGATGAAGCAAAGAGAGAGAGTGACTCAGAGAGTAGATGTGAGGTAAAGAGTGCACAGTTATCTGCTCTGTCACACAGCTCACCTCAGCAGAGGAGTATCCCGACGATGAGTATCTAGACATGTCAAAATCATCATCACTGCAACAGAAAAACATCAGTTAGCATATTTGGTGTGTTTCTCTGGCAAGAAAAAGCATGTTAGAAAGAAGTGTATTAATGTGCGTGTGTGTGTTCACCTGTCAGTGTCTAGGGCCACCAAGGGCTTCTCATCTGGGCTCTGGTCTAAAGAGGAATAGCCTTTATTGGGCACTACCAACCTGTGCGAAGGGAACAAAGAGAGAGAGAGAGACAGAGCAGAGGAGCAGAAAGAGGGTATAACGGAGGTGGATTCACAAACAGGAAGAGGTGAGTAAGAACCAGCTGGGCAGAGGAAGGTGGGCTTGGAGGCAACATCACAGCTTAGCCACAGTTAATGAAAGAAGCATGAAAGAGGTCCAATTTCAAACTTGGCCGTGTCACACACCCTGAATCAATGAAGCTATTTTTTCTTTACTACCCTGACAGAGAAAGGAAGTGATGAGAGCTGAGAATAAAATCCATCTATTCAAGCCCAATAAACATGCTTTAGACTTTGCACCTGAACATTTACATACACAAAAACTTCACTTTGACCTCCAAAATAAAATCCGTTGTAATTACTGCCATCTCTCAGATACACAACAGCAAGCAGCAGAAGCTAGAAGTCTATCTCATTCCTCCATTAAACCAAGGTCATGTTGCTCACTTCTTACCTTGTTCTTGCCATGACGTTGTTCTTCTTTGGCTGCTGGTTGACCGGACTACCTACAGCGTTGCCGTTCTTCAGCGAGCCCTTCCTAGCCAGCTCTCTCTGTTTCTCTACACATGTGACAGAGACATAGGAACACACACATTAGTTAGGCTTCAAATGACAGACATTCTGCACAAACAAATGAAGGTTAAACTGATGTCGCAGCCATGTTCTTGTAAGACTTACAAGACACATGCAATCAAATGGTGCAAATTGTTTATAATAAGATTAAGTAAACGGGGAACCCGTATAATGTGCTGATGAGAAGCATTGCATTGCTAACGACAATCACACAGTTTACAAATTATATATAAGACAAATTATGATTAGGATATATTTCTCAACTTTCTGTTGTTTGCTTTTATTTGACTGAAACAACATTATAAACTCTGACACCCATAAGGAAGTGTGACAATCAGGGAGAGGAACCGGGTTTAATTCCACCTGCAGTCGACTTTGAGAGGACGATGACGTACTCGCTTTCTGAACATGACATCTCCCAGATCAGTTTCTGTTTTGTAATCCATTAGGCAGTGTTTGGGTTGATTAAAATCCTTAAAGAGATGAGACAGTAGGTTCACAAAGAACAGACTCCTCGTGTGACATCAAACGCTCTCGCCTCCCTTTTCTCCCTTTTTTGATTCTCATCAGTGATGAGATGACGGATGACTAATACTGTTAGCTGAGTCTGAGCCAACGATGAACTACAACATTACACTGTGAAGACACTAGAAAATGTAGAATTTTTAATACAGAAACATGTTTTGAAAGGCTACTGAATGCACCTTTCCTTCTCAAGGTCACAAAGGAAAAATGAGTAGTTTAACAAGCATGCATACTTAAAGGAATATGCTCAGACTGTATTTTAAGACAGGATAATTTTATGACATAAAAACTTAGAAACAACCAGTAAGATTAAACAGAATAATATGATGTACAATGGCAGCCATCACTGCGGTCTCACGTTCAATATGCAGGACGGATGAAGAGTGAAAAGAACTGGTACAGTGGCTGAAACTGCACATGTAGATTGTTATATTTTTAAAAGGACCTTTTAATGCATTTCTTTGACCTAATAGTTTATTCACAATGGAACATTCTTCTGAAAAGCTTTAGACAAGTGCAGTTAAGAAGAGAAACTGTTGCAGTAGGAGTAAAAAAAAAAAAAAAAGGAAAAAAGAAAGAAGTGCTCACCAAGCTGCTGAAATGAGCCTTGAAGGGCAGTGGCTTTTCATAAACACAAGAGGCTCAGTTCCCCAAACATAAAACAAGCCAGAGTGCCTAATATGTTTTGCCCTGGATATCCACAGGACAAACAAAAAATCGATTACAGCTGAAACATTTATAGCCTATTTGATAAACACTGTTTCACTGTTGAAGTCACTAATCAAGCAAATGCCAAACCTCAGCTGGTTCTAGTTTCTAAAGTGTGAGATTTATGGTGTTTCTCTTTATAACATGAGTGTAAACTAAATACTTTGGGGCCATGGGACGATTGTTCAGGGGGAAAAAAAGCAACCACCTTGGTAACAACTTGCTCTGGGAACTTGTGATTGGGATTTTCTTACCCTATTGACATATTATAAACAAAAAAAAATCCCCACTGGGTTAACTTATAAACTAATCAACAGATGAACTGATAATATTATCTCTGCTGACAATATAGCAGCAGGACAAGGATGATCCACAACGTATTTTCACCTTGTTTGTCTTGTGATAAACACTTAGCCTAGAATTACAACAGCTCTTACTCACCTATTTTCATCTGCAATGGTGAGGGCTTGTAGTTGATAGTGACAGGTTCCCCCTCTCTGTTGTCTGAGTCTGCCTCTGAGGCTGTGGATGAAGCTGGGTCCTGGAGGCAAACAGGAAGATGGCACAGACAGAAAGATGATCAGAAAGTTGCATTACTGAGGCAACTATGAATAATTAATGTCTTTATGTAATGCATAATAGACCCTACTATGCCTACCTTATGAATATGTAAAACATACTGTATGAGGAATAACTGAATGCCAGTGTATGAAGCACTGTTTCAAAAACAGGTTCATATAAACCTTTAAAGGCAGCTAATAAGCTACTGAAATGGTGATTATAAATGAATGCACTGAACTTAAAATGATCTTTGATTTGTTCGGGTTGCTTGGGGGAATACCGGAAGTCCTCGGATCCCAATTTAGCAAAGACCCTTAAAATAATATACAGGACAAAGGTAAGAAAAACACCGTAACAATCATATGGAGGATGGAGATGAGTCCATACTGCTGTGGGTCTAGCTTGGCTCTCTTACGACCACGACCGTGGGCAGCAGAGGCCGCCCTGCAGGCTGCAGTAACCCAGGGCCCCGCTACAGGCCACGGAGCGCACCGCCAAAATCATTTACAGTTTTTATTTTTTATGAAAAGACGGTGGTTTAATGATTTATACGCGCGTATTTTCGAGATGAAGAGCATCTCATTAATCCACTTAAGATAGAGTAACTTGCTATATGGATCCCGAGGATGTAGCAGCAGCGTCGGGATGGGATGCTTGTTTTTGCCAGACATGACGGATGCTGCTCTCTACGCAGCAGACCGGACGCTGATCGCACTGCACAGAGGAACAATCTAGGAGCAAGTCTGTCACATTCTGATCCAGTATACTGTCATTTTAAGATTTTACTGTCTGATAGTAGTCGAAAAAACTTGCGGAGATGGCCCCATTAGAACATCTGTCAATATTACGCACGGCAGATGATGGATTTGTCGTGATCTCAAAGCATAGCCTATTATGAATGGCAGACCTCATACATCATAAGCATCCCAGATTCATAATGGCATTTTAAATAAGAAAACAGCATCAAAATACTCACCGATCATCTCCATCACCCTACAAATCTGACTTACCAGCGGCTGCATCTCAGCCTGCATCTCCGCCTCCTGCACGACACTCGGAACCTGAAATCTATCGATTTCTTCCATCATTTTGGCAACGCCCCTCTTTACTCCCTCTTCTTAGAAACTCAACAATGGCAACGGGTCGTTTCTACGAGTTATCGCCGAGACTGTGAGTGATCTCAGATTTGTAGCAATCTGGGTAGATCTCCGGTGGCGAGCTTCATCCCAGCAGTCAGTATGCCGACGGTGGTGTGACCAGTTGGGTGACGGTGACTACCACCCACTTCCGGGTGGGGTATCCCAAGCTAGGGTCCGGGGACTGAGAGGGGGCCTTTTAAAATGGACCAGTGTGGTTTCTACCAAAGTGCGTAATACCGTAGATTAATTTCTGTATAGTTTCCTGAGATGATGTGAGTGAATCACTATAATGTCAATATGAGGTTCCTATTTTGTTTCTCAATTTATTTCTTCTTTCTCTTTTGCATCTCTGAAGTAGATGGACCTAAATCTCATATCACATTTAAAGGATGAATTAAGTCATGGGGCCTGATCTGAGAGCTGACTGGCTTAAACAACATAACGTTTTCTTGAGATGTATCATTTCTTGTATACTTGCAGTGATTGCGATTTAATAAGATGGCATTTAGACTTTGTAGGTTTATTCTGTTACCAGATAATTTTGAGTCAGTCAGAGAAGCTGAATATAGCCAATTTACAGCACATTACATGTCCTGTAGGCCTATTTCTCATATACTGCAGACAGTCTGTGAGTTCTGCTCTACAATATGAACATTAATGATTTTATTACTGAAGTATGAAGTGACACCAAATACTTTGGAAAGTGAGATGTGATGATTCTTTAAATCACACCCATACAGAGATGGAGCAGTGGCAGGCTAAATATCTGCCAGATCAACAATGCCTGTTAATTCATTTATGCAGTTTCATTTCAAGTCTGGTCAGCTCAAATACAGAAGCAAACTGATATGATGACCACTTTATATGTAGCCCACATACATTTTCATGCACAATATTGGAGTAGTTGTAGAGGTCGACACAGGTCAACAAATTATCACTCTCCTTGTCTTACAGAAGAACGTCAGCTGTTTGGACCCAGAGTAGAAGCTGAAAAGTTTGATTTTATGATATTTTATTAATTAGGGATCAGAGACTGCATGGATTCAAAACACATGGGCAGTCTAGAGGTTGGGTCATTTTGTTGTGTTGCTGATTTCATGGATCCATGTGCTGGAGTCATCCCTGCACGTATATTAATAACCCCTTTGTCTTGGAGTTTGAACTTTTGATTTCATAAAAATGCCCTGATGATTTCACTGTTAGGCCTGAAATCCCTGAATAATGTTTACCTTTACATTCAGACCGACCGTGTTGCCCGTGAGAGCTAGTGGAGCTGCCTTGTGCCATCCATTACGCACAAGGCTGTCCTCACTAATCTGAGACTGTATCTAAAACGTGTGACGCTGTGTGATGTAAACAGTGCTTTATGTGACATTCAACATGTTACTGTGGGATTCTCTCGTCCAAACACCATCACTTAGCATCTGGTTACTCCTCAAAGCGCTGGTCTTTTTCAGTTATCTGAGGGCGCGTTCCAAAATCCGACCAGCCGGTTTGTCCCGGATGGGCGTGGTTGTCGTTCCATTTAAATTCGGCACATGAAAATGCACATGTCCCTTGTTTGCAATGAGCTTTCATCTGCAAGGGTGAGGGCTTGTAGTTGATAGTGACAGGTTCCCCCTCTCTGTTGTCTGAGTCTGCCTCTGAGGCTGTGGATGAAGCTGGATCCTGGAGGCAAACAGGAAGATGGCACAAACAGAAAGATGATCAGAAAGTTGTATTATTGAGTTTGCCATGGCTTCATGTCGGCACATGAAGCCATGGCAAACTGTGGTACATCAACGAAACAACAGGTGAAGCCCCGTAGAACAATGAACAGCAGCCTGTTTGTGGTCAGAAAATGTGGACACCATACTTTGAAGAAACTTTGCAGACAAGGCATTTGAATCACGCTGAGCTTGAAAATTCACTCCTTGACCTAGACTGTGTAAAATCATGATTGAATCAAATAAAAACCATTAAATCACACCTAATATTAAAATTGTGTCCTGGTGTCTGGGCTCTTTGGGGCAGTATTCACCCAGTTGTATAGGCTGTTTACTCTGTGTTCAAAAGCAGAGACATGATGTTGCTTAATGTGAAAGAATGGCCCATTTTCTGGAAATACAATTATCAGCTGATGAAGATCAGCCTCCTGTGCAGCCTGCACTCCATTTAAACGAGTTTCCCTACCCTTGCTGCTAGTAACAAGCGGGATGCTGGCACAACCAAATGTAACACATCCTGTTTATCGGTGATGAGAAAGGCATTGGTGAGATTGGGGTTCCCGCAGACCAATCATCCAACCATCAATAAGAATCGCACGGAGTAGGCGCGGCCATACGTCTTTTGAATCTTGAGAAATGGGTACAGGTGTTTGTTGAGTCTGAGGCAGAAGGGGCCGAGCTCCAAATGCAGCTATAGCCATTTGCTGCGCCCACTCTGTGAATGGGCGCGCCCATAGCCACTGGGCGCAAAATTTTGAATGTTGGTTTGTGCATTGTAACACGTAAAAATTACAGACCTGTTCCTTTACTTAGCTTTTGTGACAAGTGAGCATCGAGCCGGGTCTTTAAGGTAGGCTACACTGTTCTTTTATTCTGTGTTTTCATTATGTATTAAGATAGTATATTTGACGAAGGTTAGACGCGCTAACGTTGTCACTGTATTGTACTTTGAGAACCGGAGCCTGACACAACGCTGTCTTTCATTTTCAGGCAGGGCTGTCACAAGGTTGTTCTGATGACTTTTTGTTGTTCCGTCTTTTCCAGGCCTAAAAACCATGTAAGGATAGAAATATGTTCAGTGTAACCTGTACTAAAAAGAGGTTAAGGAAAGGACACCTATTTGACAAATTACACCAGCTGTTTAATAAGACACAGAGTTTCTGGATTTTTATTATGCTCTGAGTTTCTTTCCCCTCCCCTCCTGCTCTGCTCTCCTCTCCTCTCTCTCCCTATGCTTCTATATGCCACCATTACACATTACTAACTTTGTGTCTCCTCTCTCCTGTACCTTTCTGCAGGTTGCCCTGGCCCTTGAGCTGTACGTCTCTGATGAGCAGTCACCAGCCACATCGACCTGATCAGTGTTTGATTGTTGTGTCTTGTTGCTTTTCTTCTTTTGTCTCTCCTCTATCCACTCACCCCAACCGGTTGAGGCAGAAGGCCGCCCACCAAGAGCCGGGGTCTGTCGGAGGTTTCTTCCGTTAAAGGGAGTTTTTCCTCCCCACTGTCGCCAAGTGCTTGCTCAAGGGGGATTTGTTGGGCTTTCCTTATGTAATAATATTGATAACAGTAAGGTCTAGACCTTACTTTGTAAAGTGTCCTGAGATGACTTTTGATGTGATTTGGCACTATACAAATAAAATTTGATTTGATTTAATAACCTATTGATTTATAACTAACCTAGCTGCTGATCTATTGTGATACAGCTAGGTAGGTTGGTTATCTGTGTTTTAGCTATCTAGCTGCTGACATATAGGGCTATAAAGTGAGAGAAAGGGTGTCTCTAAAACCCAGGTTTAGTGCAATTTGTTAAGGTACCAGAGCACAGCTATGATGTGCACATGTGCAAGCACATGGTTAGGTTGTGGCTTATTTTGAGGGCCATGTGGCAGGTTCACATACATATAATATTTGACCTCTTGCCCTCGGTGAGGTGCTTCAGGAGCCTCCAGACCAAAAAGAGCGGACTCAGACAGCTTCTTCCCCACAGCTGTCTGTTTACTGAACTCTGCCCCCATTGACCCCCCACTTCCTTCTTCTATACCACTACACACACCTCACCCTTTCTCATCTCTCCTGCTGGGACCAATGCAATACACCTCTGTTACCAGTAACACTGAAGTTCTGTTATTCATTTGCACACTGTACTCTAATCTAATCTAATCTAATACAATATTAGATCATGTATAACCTGTAATTCTTGCATTCTGTCCTGTCCTTGTAAAATGATTTATATTGGAAAAACAGCAATAAAATAGAGAATCTGACTGAATGATCATTAAAGCTTTATTAGATTTGCTTTATTGATTAATTTAGGGGCAATTTAGAGTCGCCAATCAACCTAAGATGCATGTTTTTGGACTGTGGGAGGAAGCCGGAGCACCCGGAGAGAAACCACGCAAGCACGGGGAGAACATGCAAACTCCGCACAGAAAGGCCCCGGGGCGGCCAGGGCTCGCACCCGGAA